ACATATTTTTCCGAGCCGGCCGGTCTCATTTTTACATATTAATATGTTTGCGGGAATCACCCATTAACGGGAATCACCCAATCCGTTGCTCACAGAGGTCTCTTCAGCCGCCATGCAAACTTTTATTTCACCCTGATTTACTTAACGAATCTGGCGTTGAAGTAACATTGCTCGAGCAGAGTTCATTAAATCTACATGAAAAGTAAATGTGTTTATTTAATGCTCTCAAGGAAGGAAACACGCATATGACAAAATATGATATTTTTCTGTCAATCGATGCAAATCCCTCTKAAAGAAAACAACAAGAAAGAACGTTTTCGTACAACCTTTTTGCTTCACAGAATTTTATTAATTGGTGACGTAGAGGAAAAGAATCCAATAATATGATGTGTTAATTAAAATCAATCTAATTAACACTCTATACCGTTTTGAAGATTCTTCTTTCATTCTTCTTTAAATATAAGAAATTCATTTTCTATTTARTGTTTACTTGGTTCGTCGACAAGAGTCTTTATATATGTGTGTATTGATAATGTTGGTCAAGAGAAAGAAGTTCTTGTGTCAATATTTTAATCTTTACTCCATAAGTAAAACTTACGTCGCTTGCTCGTAGAAGGTTTACGACTGTTTCTTTCCTTAYTTGACCTGTGCAATTCTGTTTCATCGCGCTGAACAAATTGCGGCACTGGTACCAGTATATTTTTCTGCGATGGGTGAACGTGAAACTGTGCTAGCTAGGAACGAAAATGGAGAAGAAACAACGAAGATAGACCTTTGCCATAATCAATAACAGCATTATTTGGCACTGCACCTTCTCGATAACTTGAGTAATCCAGATTGATTCATCATAGTACAGGTACATTTTGATAGTACAGTTGATACTAATAACCTCGATTTTAACCCTTATTTATCAAGAGTAAAGAAACCGAAAGTCATTATTATCTCTTGATCAAGAAAAAGAGCAGATCAGAACAGTGCAACGCAAGACTACACAACGGAGAAATCACGATGCTTCCTCCTTCCATGATCCGCAATGTGAACAATGGTGCCATTGGCTCAATGAATGGTGCTTCACGAAGGATTCGTAACGGCGAACGTAACAACGGCAATGGAAGCAACAAGGGTGCATTGCAAAGAAGTATAGCGGCTGGCGGGAGCGATCGACAGCAGCCAGCCGTATCTCCCACCGACAAAAATAGACTCCTGGAGCAGCTGCGTCTGGTAACCGCACAACTTCAGGCGAGGTCTTCTTCATTGTCGCAACCAGCAGCGTCTATTACACAGAGAACCCCACCATCAACAACAGCTCCAACAACAACACCAATTCCACAACTGGAGGCGCAACCAAAACCCAGCAACCAACAAACGATGTTGCACCCCGAAGTTCCGAGAAGTAACGTTGGAATCCCGCCTACCCCTGCCACCGTACGAGGTGGAAACACCGGTAGCTCTATCAGTACTGCCATCAACATCGACTCGTGTGGCTCTGCTCCGAGCGCGGTCGCCACTTCCAATAGTAGCAACCCCGCTTCCCAAGCCTCCCCCATTGGAAACGATGCACAGGAGGAACTCTTCCCGTACATTCTTCACGGAATGCTGGACGACGTAGAAAGGATGGGACACACGAATATTGTTTCATGGAACGCAGACGGCAGGTCCTTCCGAATCCATGATCCTGATTCCTTTGTATCGCTCCTTCTCGAAAAATACCTCAAGCGATACGTTGGAGGCATTGCAAGTAGATTCACACAGTTCCGTTCAGACCTCATGGACTGGGGATTTGAGGACGCAGTCGACGGGAACCGAATGGGTGAGACCTTTACCCATCATTGTTTCCAGAGAGGCCAGGCAAACCTCTGCCGTTACATGAGGTGCGGAAGGAAATCCGAGGAATCACCCGCCCCGAAGCAAGCTCTCGTCACACCAACCAATGTAAGTACCAACCTGTCAAGAACCATGCAATGTTACGTCTATATGTTTGAAGCATCGTCTGTATGGTCACTGACTCGTATTTTTGTCTCCATTGATTTTTTTCTTTCTGTTGTAGACAATTCCTCGACGACAACCTGTACCGGTAAGCGTACAAKCGCAACCAAGAGTAGTCGTAAATGCACAACCAACTACCGCTGCTGTTAGTGCAGTCCAAGCTACCAATCCAGTGACTCTGGGGAGCACTGCCCAATTGCTTCTTCAACAAGTACAGGCCCAAGCGAAGCAGCAGCAGCAACAACAACAGCAGCAACAACAACAACAGCAGCAGCAACAAGCACTTCAGCAGCAACAACAGCAACAGGCCCTCCAGGTGCAAGCCTTGCTGAATGGTTTGACTAACGGAAGCAATCCCGTCGCAACGATGATTCTCAGCCAGCTTGCTCAGCAGCAGCGTCAACAGCAAGCGAGGCAGCACCAGCAACTCTCGTCCGTCATTGCAGCCGCTGCAGCGCTGCAAAGACAGCAGCAACAGCAACAGCAACACCAGAAGAAGTTTGTAATCACCAAGCCAACCCCGRTCCCCCAGATCTCATCGATGAGACCTTTGTCCATGGCGCCCACGTGCCTAGTCCGAAATCCTGTTGCGACCGCCGCATCGATCTCGGCACCGTCCACCAGAATCAATGGGGCAATGAACCAAAAACAACAACAACAACAACAACAACAGTTGACCAAGACAGTACGGTGCGTCTTGAACCAACACAAGCAGGCGAAAGCAACAACTTCCGCCGCACCCGTTTCCGCAAAGAGAGCAGCCTTTTTGAACAAAAGGAGCAGGGCAACTGGAGCAGCATACCGAAACCCAAACAAGAAGCAGAAACGGGCTAACAAGGCGCCAAGTGCAGCAAGCATTATTAAAAATCGTAAGAACGTCGTCTTGAAATCATCCTCCCATTTGGTCAAGAATGGGGGGAGCGCCGCGAAAATCAACGCGTTCACGTTGAACGAGGACTTCAAAATGAAAGAGATGCCAGATTTGCTTTTCCCCTGGAAGCTTCACGATATGCTGGACGATTCAGAACGGAAAGAGGATATCAAAACAAATGTTGTTTCGTGGCAAGCTGATGGCGTCTCTTTCAACATTCACGACAAGGATAGATTCGTCAATGAAGTTCTTCCGGAATACTTTACCGAGATTTCAAAGGAATGGGATGCTTTCATCAACATCCTATCGAGCTGGGGTTTTGTTCGCTTCACATCGGGTACTCAAAAGGGGGCCTTCATCCATCGCCTCTTGGTGAAGGGAAAACGCTCGATTTGCAAACAGATGCGCATCAATGGAAAGACGGTAAGTACCGCACAAAATATGATCGGAGAGACCCTTGACCAATCATGAGAAACGGTCTTCACCAGATATCACCTAATACTCATTTCATTGGTATTTTCTTTTATTGGTCATGTTTTTCAGGTGTCAGATTGGATGAAACAGCACGGGCAATTCATCGGTCGCCTCCATGCGCTGCTGTCCCATGCCGAAAAAGAAGGAAAACAAGAAATTGTTTCCTGGACGCCTGATGGCAAGAAATTCACAGTTCACGATCCATTCGGGTTTATGAACTCTGTCTTCCCCATGTATTTTGATTCCTTGACATACAGCTCGTTCGAGCAAAAGCTTCGTCGATGGGGATTTATGAGATCACCTGCTAACCACACTAAGTTGGACAAGGAGATGAAGCTCGAAAACGCGGTCTACAGCCATCCACACTTCGTGAGAGGAAAAATTCCGAATCTGGTTTGGGTCAAGACAGAGACAAAAATTCCTCGTACGCTGCAACAGCACAACTTTTTGGTACGCCTGCGAGTCATGCTCAGCGATGCTTCGCGCCGTGGGAACCACTTTGTTGTCTCATGGGCTCCTCACGGAAAGGCTTTTATGATCCACGACCGACCATACTTTTCAAGCAACATTATGCCCAACTATTTCAAGAGCAAGTTTACTAGTTTCCGACAATCTCTTCGAAACCATGGATTTGCTCAAATCGGGGGAAACGGCTGGGACGAAGGAGCTTATTACCACAAACTTTTCATTAAGGAAGAACCACAACTGTGCCAGGGGCTTACACAGAATCAGATGAAAAAGGCGATGCCCGAATGGATCCCTGTCGAAGAAGAGCCAAACTTCTACTCAGAGGACAAGCAGCAATCGGCAGCAGTTGCCATGGTGTCATTGAAATCGATGACGCCTGCCACAGGACAACAAAAAATATAGCGGAGACAGTTTAGGGAAAGGTGAATCATAACGTTGTTCTGACTCAACTCCCACCACATCGCTAGAGAAGCAATTGTTGAGACTTCGTTTAAAACGTTTGACTCAGSAAGAGAACCGTACGGGATCACCGTAGGATGTTTCGGGAATCGATAAAACGTTTCAACCGACTTGGCTCGGTAATCCAATGAGCTAAACACGAGTGATAGTCCCTTTTTTCTCTCTGGCCCTACTAAAAAGACCTCACTCCAACTTACACGGCGCTAGCACGCTAAGTATGGTTTGTTTTTTAATCAGCGGATTCACCCGTCTACGGTAGTGCGTGCAATTCCGTACCACAGCCCACTGTGCTCCCATGTAGCATACTGTATTAATAAGAACAATACGAACAATAATTCTGTTAAATTGAAGAATATTCTTCATTCTAATACACAATATTGCGATTAAATGTGCACACAAAATAATGAGTTGTAAAAATTGTTGATGCAGTCAAAAAGTACCGCTGCATGCGATGTAATCGGAGGATGAGGTACAACGAGAGATGTAGAAATATGCTTTACTTCAAATCAGAATTGGAAGAGCAGCTTTTTCGTTTTCGGCTACAAAACCATTCCACCATATCCTACTTATCACCATGGACTACCAAATAGAAAGACTCTGTGCCAATAGATAACACTGATAGAACAGACAACTCGCAGCCGCCCGATGCTAGTGCTATGAAATTTTCATCGAATAAAGTCTTCATCTAGCCTATGTCGCTGCGTTTAATTTCCACTTGCCAGGCCATTGATAGGCTTTCTCTTGAAGAAAGCAACGCGCCCACTTTTAAACATTGCTCGTCCTAGGTTGCCGGATCCCAATCCCGCTCGGAGCAAACAGCACAAAGCGTACAATCCAAGACGGAGGGTAAAGGTTGCGAAAATTGTAGAGATACTACTGCACCATGTTTTCAAGAGGAAAAGCTGGAGCAACATCATCACAAGTCCCTGCGAGAGCATGAAACCAAAATCCTTGCTGGCTAACATTGCTCCATCGACAGTGACTAATGAGACGTGAATTCGTCCAATGCATTACAAAGAGAAGCACCGACATGGGTTAGTCAAAATACTCAGGCAAGGGGATTTGAGTTTGATTACATCTTCAAGTTATAGCTTTTCCGATCTCACTATAGTACTCACTTGCAAAAATCGCGGTAGCAACAGTCAAGAAAAGAGAAGGTGCAGCCCCTTTTGCCAATGCTTGCACAGCGGGATCAGAGGTGAAAAGAAAGGACCCGAAGTATGTAGCGAGGCCCGCAACTCCACCAATGGCAATAGACGACATGGCACCCAGTGACAAAACCGATTTAAAGTTTGATTTGACTTGCTCTCCATCTCCCGCTTCGATCAATTCAGGCAACTGAGTTTGGCTGAGTTGACTCAAGGGCTCAGCAAAGAGTAGGAAGAAAACCATCAGGTTCAAACACACCTGATAAGCAGCTGTTTGCTTCACACCAAGTGTCATCGCAGTTGTTTGCATCTTGACGAATCCGAACATTCGAGTTAATGTAATTCCCAACAATGGACCTGTGAATTCCATCAGGGAAAGGAGTTCCTTTCTAGAGGGCCAACGGATTTTTGGGAGGATCCCTTTTTTCTTCAACCCTTTTACCATGAAGGCAGAGCTTAAAAGAGTTGCAAACGTGGTGGCAGCGGCAGCTCCAGATACACCCAATCGCAGAGGGAAAACACAGAAGAGAAAATCCCCAATTACATTTACACCCGCAGCAAGAGCAACAATTTTGAGTGGCGTGATAGCATCTTTTGTGGCCAATAGGATTGACAATGATACACTCTGTGCCAAAGCAGCCCAGGAAATAGCACCCCGCCAGTAAATGTACGACGAAGCAGGACCTCGTAGGGCAGGTGTGACGCTCAGCATCGACAACATATTAGGGGTACAATACGCGTAAAAGATGGTCAACAAAAGCCCACACATCAACGCAACGGTTAAGGGTGCAGATCCTGCTTCGGCCACTGCCTTTTTCTTCTCTTCARRGTCAGTCTTCGATCCTTGTGCTCTAGAAACCAACCCAGTTGTCGCTCTTGACAAAAATAGAAATAAGTATAAGAGCTGATCGGTACATACGGTTGCAGGGGACAAGGCTGCGAGGCCTTCCGTTCCGACTGTCTTGCCAACAAATGCATTATCAATATTTGACAGCAAGGGATTCGCGAGGAAAATTCCCAGCGCTGGCAACGCGAATTTCAGCATCTCTCGCTTGGATGATGAGGCTTTTGTCGTCGGTGCGTCCGACGGAAAATTGTTGCTTGGAGAGACATCCGATGAGTCCTTTTTGTTGCTATCGTCATCTTTTGTCATTCGCAGCAATGAGCCTCTCCTATTCGATAGAACCGGTGCCTTCGTCTGCATTTTCGATTGATTTCCAACGCCAAGTGGGAGGAATTTACTTTTCGGAATTGCATAGCCTGAGACTCCTGGGGCTGCTGTTAGCGCTAGAGCCAGGATTGTTAGCGATATGGGACAGACCGCAATCGATCGCATCATAGTGTTGTCTTCAGATGTAAAGATCAGCAATGGTTCACGGTGACAGTTGAATATTTATGTATTGGAAATTGTGTTTCCTTGAACGATTTGAGTACCCAAATCTTACACGGCATAGGGTGATGATCTTACAACTGTTGTTCACCAGGTTGCCAAATTTCCATGACAACCACCATCTGCAAATTCAAAATCTTGTATTCTCAGCAGATTTGAGAAAAAAAGAAGAGAACACGCAAGAGAACACGAAATTTCGGTACGCACGAGCAGGGGTTTTATGATCCCTGCGCACGAATACGTAGAAGTACGGTACTACCGCACTCTTAAAGTACCACAAAAAACCACGCACGTTCTTGCAACATTGAAAAAATGATAGTACTAAAAAACTTGGTACACGCAAAGTACTGCACTGTACAGTATCATTTTTATTGCTTCGGATGTCCGTCTCGTACCGTATTAACCCTCCAATTGAAATACGGTTCAAGTCCTACGTGTAGTGCGAGTTGGAGATGGAGAAGAATAGTTCGGAAGTTCGGCTAAAATTGGCCACCTAGGGAGGCTACATGTACCGATTGTGATGCTCGTGGAAAACAAAACTTGGAACACAATTCCCAATAGTTAATTGTAGTAGGAACTTCAAATCAATTCCTCATGCTCTAAAATCTTGTTTTCAAAACTCAAATTTTTGTTCTAACTTCAAGGGGGTGAAGAAGTGGGGCGTTAATTGAAAAGATATGATGGGAATGCTTCCTTGAACTACCGTCCCGGCTACGCAGTGTTACGAGTACGTTGTTTTCGGTATCTTTCAAGCTCAAAACAGTTTTCTTCGCTTAAGGTACCTACCGTATGTACTTCTTTTCGTACTTTACAAAACAGAGTGGTACGGTACGTACAACTTGTCAAACGAATTAGTATTACCACTACTACTACTAATTAAAAAATCTTATTTGTATTTAACCTCGTGAACTAGAAGAGGCACTATGTGGAAACAGAACCACAGCTTTGGGTGGGAAGAATGCTCATAGTTGCTCTGAGGGGCAGCACCTCCCTACGAGGAGTGTTTATGGAGACGCGACCAGGGTTTGGTTTCGCTGGTTTTAAAAGAAGTGGGTTAATTTGGTTCGTAGTGAATGGGAAAGAGTGACAGAAGAAGTCAAAGAGACCGCGATAGTTGTTAGTAACCCGAACAGAGGCATATTCTGCACTCCTGTAAAGTCACGAAACGGCGCGAAATCTTTTTTTTTTTTTTTTAATTGACGCGTGTTTTGAATGTGCTACAAGTGATAAGAGGAAATTCACTCATTCCAAATGCACCAACGTTGAAAGTTTCCGTGGGAATTGCCCTTCGGCGGTCGGACTACTTTCTGAGACTCTTGCACAAGTTAGTGATAGGGTCGATCATGATTTTCATGGCGATTCGAGGGATGATGCCCAAGCAAAATTTCTGGATAGAGGCGAAGGTAACGTGTGAAGTATTCGGTGACCACTTAGCAACCGATTATCCCTTCATGTCGTCGGGAAGTTTGCGAAATAAGGTTGTCTAGAGTCTATGAAAACTATTCCGATCTCAACGCATTGTTACTATCGACTTTGCTATGTACTCTCAAAATACCGATGGCGATCGTAATATCTGTTGCGGTCAAGATCCGATTGTGTAGATGGCGAATTAACCACATTCAATACATCTTCACTTATTCTACTTTTTTCTCAGAACGACCCGGCTTTTACTTTCCCTTTTCTTTACTTTTTTTCTGATACAATAAACCGTATGTATCTCCTCTTGACAACACTACAATACAAAAAAATCATAACGAACGTCAACGGACTGGAAGTAGTATGTTTCAGGAACTTAATACACTACTTTAGTTGTTGATGAGGGTATTTAATGGAGAGTAATAGTGCGTTCTTTTGGTAGTCATCCTTTTTGGCTAATTCCTAACATCCTATGGACGAGAAAACTTTCGCTTTTGGGAGGTCCATATCATGTTGCATTAAACACAAAATCTCGTGGTTTCGTTGTTTATTGCAAGATGTAACTCCATTGACCCGCTATCATAATTCAGTTTTAAACCCTTAGAGCACGTTCTTCGAAATATACAATTAGTTTGTCAAATTTTGTAGAAGCTAAATATCTCACAAGCTTCAACCAAATGGCATCAATCAACAGTTACACATTTTCGAGCCCTTTGTCATAATCGTAGTCAAAATTTGGCAACAACGACGCTGCACCAAGCGCGGTCAATTCGGCTCGTAATGACGTTTCTGGTATAACAATCTTGCTTTGGTAGTTTGCTGGCCCCATTAAAGCAGTTATAGATTCTTTACAAGCCTCTTCGAACAATTTGTGTCTACTTCCCCCTCCAACTAATAGTATTCGTTCGATGTTGGTTGGAATTTCGTTGCTTTCCTCCAGCACTTTTGTGACTGCCGACGTAAAGAGTGAAGTAACATCTTTTGGAATCGGCAGTGACGATGACAGCATATTTTCTTCTACCAACTTTGGAATGATGGACTTGCTCCAGCCATCTTGGACAGCCTGTTCCAACACGGCTCGTGAAATAGTTGTTTCCAAATGTGGATCGTCGGGCCTGCGACCCATATACAAGAAGGGGATGTGGATTTTCGACTGTGTCTTGTTAACCAATTCTAGGGCACTGCTTCGGGCGTTTGTTTGAATCATTGTCAGAGTCATTGGTTCCTTCCCCATGGTCTCGTCCCCGGTCTCTACGAGGATACGATCTACAAGTTGCTGAACAAAATTTTCGCCGCCTATGCCATCGAGACTCACGGATGCAACAACTTTGTCGTCTCGCACCAGCGAAATGGTACTGGCTAGTCCTCCGATATCCATCACCATGGTCGAAGATGTGGAATTTTCTTCCTTGGATTCCGGTGTAGGTATTAGATTCAAGGCCTGAGCTCCCCAAATGGCAGCAACGGGTTCTGGCACAGTGATTGTCTGATGAGAGTTGTCGTGGTAGTTTTTGCGAAAGAGTCCATCTCCATGCTTGTTGTAAAATAGCGGTGGTAAAGTGAGCACTGTTCTTAGATTTTTCTTTTCGTCGCTAGAAGCATCGCTACCACCATCGGACATTACTCTCTCCATCGCTTCCGCTACAGCCGGGACAAACACTTTTTGAACCAATGCTGTTGCGTCGTCGTTTGATTCGTTTTGAAGTTCCATGTATGGCAAAACTACCTTATTGCTTCCACTGTCATTATTCTCTACACCATCGTCAGTTTTTTCGTCAGTTTTTTCGTAAAAGAATTTTTCCAGGGCTGGCTTCCCCATGATAACGTCGTCGTCTTGGGACAAAATTCCATTGAATCGATATCGATCTCCTTGTGCGGTCTCGATCAGTTGCGGTTTGTTCTTATTCACGCGAGACAGTTTGAGATAAAATGTCCCTAGATCCACTCCAATTGTGATAGTTGCGTCGGCTTTTGCTTGAACACGAGCACGCTCGTATTGCTTTAGTTCCCAAAGATAGTCCTCCCAATCCTCATCCATGCGGTTGAGAGCCTTCCACGAATACCGTCCAATAAATACTACGGCACCCGCTGCCACAAGAGGAAGGATTTCTCGATTTGCCGTGGAATGAAATAATCGTTTTGAACTCGACGTCAAAAATGGGTCACGTTGCCGTTTCTGRCCGTAACTATCTTCTCTTTGACTATCCGGAAGAGACGAAGGGGACACAACAGCTCCAACCGGAAGAAGAGCTTGTTGCTTTCTTCCTGCCCCCAGTAAAGCGTTRAATCCCGCTCGGAGAAGAAACCGACCATGATTACTCATCGTGACAAGCGGCAAAGTATGCAGGATATCAATAATGCGAAAGCGTTGCGTTTTCCGAATAGGATGATTTTGWTCGGAGTGGTGTAGTTTTCTTTTCTTCTTCAGCCTCCATGTTTTCTTACAGCATGCCAACACTYGTTTTCCACCACCACAGAAGACAAGAAAGGTTTTGTGGAGGAGAAATCTCGTTGAATGCGATGACCCGCTTGACTCAATCAAAATGCATGGAATAAGATCAAATTGGAATTGGAAAGTAACGAAGAACTTAGAGTTAAGGTTATCCGTTATATGTCGGTCGCGCACGCAAGCCAGGYGATAAATAAAAAAGGCAACCGATTTTCGAATTTCCAGKACAAAAAAATTCACAGCAGCTCACAAGAAAACGCAGTTGTAGCGTTTCGACCACAAACACGGCAGCTTCAGATCTACTTCTGTTAGTCAAAACGGCAGTCTAGTACGGTGCGGTAAGCAAGCTCATTAAGAGCAAACAAATCCAACTAAGAATTACTTCCCATCTACATAATCTACAGACAAAAGTTTCACAGTATTGAAATATCATCATGTCGCTAAGAAGTGGAAACCGACAACGTGCCGCCCAGTTCACTCGAAAGCAGAAGCAATACAGAATAGAATCTGATTCGGAGGAAGACGACGATGACGAGACGGAGATGGATCAGAGCTCCAAYTTAAGGTATGGAGGAGGAGTTCTTGCTATATTGAAGAACAATACCAATGGAACGAGAAGGCAGAGACGGAATGGCAGCGAGAAGGGCAATGGTAGGGGCAAAAACATAACGTCGTCACCGTTGCAGAAGTCAAGGAAAGAAAATTTTGAAGCGGTAGCTGACGAAAACAACAGAACTCCTCCACCGAGAAATGTTATCATGACGAGATCTGCGATGCGAGCAATTTCTCCATTAACTACGCAAAAAGCAAACCAACAACGAGGACGCAACAAAGTATCAAACAATGTCTCTGTGGAAGAAAATAGTCGTGCCGATAGCTTCGATGACAGCGTCGAGGACGAGGACGATGAGACTCGACCTCAGACTCTATCCAGTGAWGACAATGAAAAAAATAGTTCGACATCTCGAGAAAACGAGCACGATGACGAAGGAGAGGAAGAAGAATCATACGAAGACAGTTACGGACCTTCTGAGTCTTCGTCAGAGTTTGAATTTGGAGTAGACGACGAAGAATTTATTCCGGACGAAGAGGATGAAGATGATGACGAGAGTTCTCCCATGAGTGACTTTATTGTTGAAGATGACTCCGATGATTATATATCGAGGGGAAATACCTCAAACGATGCATCTACAAGAAACAACGATGAAATTGATGTTGTTGATGGTGGTAATGGCGATGATGATGTACAATTTTGTGACGACACCGTAGTTAATGAAAGTGCTATAAACGAGAGTCCTTATTTATCTGCGGCCAATGTTCCCGAAGATTCTATTGACGATAACACTTTCGATGCAGAGCAGACCCCAACGAAATTTGAATTGCCGAAAAAGAATCTGAGCTTTAGCTCTCCAGAACCTCAGATGGCGATGATAGTCGACGAAAACGACGAGGACGAGGACGAAGATGATGTTCTATTTGCAACCATAATTGACTCTGATACGGTCGATGGGGATACCGTTGTTTTAACCTTTGACGAAGACGAGGAAAACGATGCAGAAGAGACAGAATCAACTGGCGTTCATGTGAGTGAACAACAATCGAATAGAGATAATCAMATTTCCGCTGGAAAAACAAAGGAAGCAGTAGACGACAATCAAGAAAGTAGAACGCAACCTTCATCATTGCTTGCTAATAAAAATTCTCAACCCATTGTATTCCAAGAGGAAGAACATGAAGGGCACGCAAAGAAAAATAATGAACCCGAGCCGTCGAAAGATATCACATTAGTTGCCCCAGAAACTTCCAAAGAGGTTTCCACGAGAAAGAATGACAAACATTACAGACAAGAAGGGACAGTAAAACGCAACAAATGGGCACTGGGAGCAAAGATTGGCGTTGGATCATTCGGCGAGGTTCACGTTGGCATGAATACTCAAACAGGCGTTCTGATGGCTGTGAAGAAGTTTAGAATGGAAGGTGCAGTAATGAAGGATATCCGAACAGAGGTAGAACTAATGAGATCCTTCAAACACGTCAATATTGTTAGATACTTGGGAGCTCAGATGGACAAGGATTTTCTTCATATTTTTCAAGAATGGGTTCCTGGTGGAAGCGTTGCGAGCCTACTAAGCAAGTTTGGCGCGTTCTCAATTGAAGTCATAAAAAGCTATGTGTCGCAGACACTAAATGGTTTGGTATATTTGCATGAGAACAATATCATGCACCGAGACATAAAGGGATCAAATATCCTTGTGAATGACGAAGGAATCGTGAAGCTAGCAGATTTTGGAGCTAGCAAGAAGCTGAAGAATCTCAATKCTGATATGATGATGAGTCTCACGGTTAGAGGCACACCATATTTTATGGCACCTGAGGTATTTGAGGAGAAATACAGTGCCAAGGCTGATGTTTGGGGTATAGGTTGTGTGGCAATTCAGATGGCAACAGCTAAGCCACCTTGGAAGGAATTAGGATTCACAAATCCAATTTCGCTCTTCAACTACATGACGAAGCAAAAGGGACCCCCCCCGATGGAACACCCACAAAAAGAATCTTTTTCCAAGCAACAAGAAGTATCTTGGACTCTGTTCGAGCAGTTTGTTTGCAGATGCTTTGAATACGAACCRTCGAAACGACCTTCTGCGCGAGAGGTACAAGACGATCAATTCTTTTTKACTTCAATTATTGGCGATGCCGATGACGACGAATCTATGGATTGTCGTGGTCTCTTCTCTCCCGGAAATGAAAGTAAAAAGTWTTTTTCACCAAAGCAGTTTTCATCGCCCGCGAAGCAGTCATCCGCTGCTCGGCATCTTAGACCGAGAAAAAGTGATGGTCGACAAGAAATGACATTTTTGTCTCCACCTCTTCCAAAGAAAAATATTGAAAGAAGCAAATCACCTTTTGCGAAATGCACGACTTCTCGTGCGGAGCCGAAGACCGAAAATTCGCCATCGCTAGACACTCGGGAGTGGCCTGCTTGGGCCAAAACTGAACTCGAGAARCAAAACAATTGCAAAGTAATAGTAGCAGAAGCGAAWGAAACAACCCAAGGAAATTTAACGAAGCTAATGGATAGCCTCGCATTGAGCGAAGACAGTAGCGATACTAGTCAAAGAACATCGAACGAACGAAGATCCTCTACTTTTGGGAGTTTGATTGGTATTGACTTCCTAGATAATTCATCAGCGTGATTGAAGCACGTCTTAAATCCATGTAAACTCAAACTGAGGATGCTTTCAAGTTTAAATATTATTACAACATATTCTTCTTCGCTGAGAAACATATGAAGAAAACTTCAATGATTTCTAGCAATTTAACTCCTTAGTTGAGGGCAAAGTCAGAAAAATTTGAGCTTGTCGCATTAACAGCACTTTCAATGTCCCCTTCGAAGATTAGGTCGTATTGTTCTATGCTTTCGAGATCCATATCTTCTTGCTCCGCTTTGGCTTCGAGGAATTTGTTGCCACACATACTAGCAGCTCCTTCCAGGGTAACAGTCATACGACCATCACTGAAAGACGTGCTATAGTTCGATGGCAACGCCATCATTGTTTGGTACATGTACTCTTGATATGCGCTATGTGTAGCAGTTGCTTTGCCCATAAAGAAATCAAACGGACTGTAAAGAAGGAAAACGAAAAGAAACAAAATATAATGAAACACATCGATTCAGTCCTTTGATCTATTGCCCAAAAAAGTCGTTGTAGGAACGGAGTTCTTTAGTTCCACCATCGCAATGCATCGTAATGGTTAGGTCCGTTTTCTGGCTGGGTCACTTACATCATACTGCGCCAGGATACAACGGAACCATCGTGGGTGGACATCAGAAAGGCCGGTAGTTCCCATTCTTCGGGAGTCAGGGGGGTTGTCCTTGCGTCGTAGCTGATCAACCCGTCGTGTTCGAATGCTACAAGTACAAAGGACCATGCGATGGCATCAGAGAAATAATCGACGGAGACAATCGAGAGAGCCACGTGTTGTGAGAGATTTTTGGAACAACGATTCAAAAGGCACGCCCGATGATTTTTGAAGTACTCACCTTCCGGTTCTGCCGCGTCCGGTTGAAAACGAACCGGCATGTTCGCCAAATACGCTCCCTGTTGGAGTTTGGTGTGCCATCGAAAGAAAGAAACAAAACGAAACGAATGAAATGAAATGAAACAAGAAACAGACCAGGGATGCCAAGGTTTGAGTTTGGATTCGTGGCAAGCTGTCGAGCAATGGTCAACGACACGACACGATGCAACGAAGCACGTGCATGCACAACGGAGTATGGTAGCCTACTTACACTTCTTGCCAAGCGCGGTACAGTAAATTGAGCTCGTCCTATGTGGCTGGTCTGGTTGTACTGGCAGACGGCGGGCGTCTTGAATGTTTGGCACAACATGTACGCCCTGTAGACGGGGGTCACGGTATAGAAATTGAGATCGTACCGCGCCTTTTTGAAACCGGACGGGCGCCTGCCACACGGCAACCATTCGACCGAGACGTGATCRAATCCGGTGGTATCRAAGACGTAGGGAGGAAACCTGATCCAGTGGCGGCGGGCGGTGTGAAAGGGCAAGCCATCGGGGGCGGTTCCCGTTCTGTTGACGGGGGCACAATTTTTCCGAAAACCGGGCTCGCCAACGGTGATGTCTTCGGCGTTCACGTCRAATTCCACCTCAAGTTTGTATAGGCAACCCCTTTCGGCTCCGTCGTCGTCTAGCGTCAGCTCATAGGTTCCATCGTAGTGTTTAAGGTTGGGTGTTCCGAGCGCCGACAGGTCGGTGCTGCCAGGGGCTTCGAATTGTAGATTGAGGCTGTCGAGACTCGTTGCTCCCATGGAGAGGGACGCTAGGGCCGCAATTATTYTCCAGCACTGCAGGGATCGAATTGTCATGGTTGCTCCCTTTCGGTCGTTGCAATGGTGTTGGCTGACGGAAAGACTATGTTTTCTTTTACCTTTGTCACGAAGTCTTCCTATTTCGTTCTTCTGGTGTCGAAGATCTGCCGCTTCGAACTCAACAGTACGATACGTAGCAGTCACCACCGTAGTTAAACTACGGTAGGCATCAGAGAGAGAAGCGGCAGAAATATGGAGGGGACATAACCGGTACTTCTTCGTACGTAGAGTACGAGTACTCTACGGAAGCCATAGTCCGTACCAGTTCCAGCAACTTGTACAGAGATATTTTTTTGTGCGCCCACACGATTACTTCCATGACCCAGGTTGACCTATTTTTAACACTTTTCATGTAGTTTGTTACGATTGAACGAAATATTCGTATGCCAGACGTGAGTCACATAGGGAAAATGACCATCAAGTTCAAGGTATTCAACAAAACGCGGTCAATTTGTCTTAAGCAATAAAAATCCATTCTTGGTGCGGAAGTAGGAGGGAGCAAAAATAGGTTATGATTATTTATGAGTACGAGCACGTAGCGCAACCGACCTATTCGCGACAAGGTAAAAGTAATACAAACTAGATGTGCTGTACAGYACTAAGGTAGGTTTACGAGTAACTTACTCGTGATACTGGTAAATCATCCCGATCTGTCACACACTCCAAACGCAAGAGAACCCAGTTGAACCTTTTGCTTCCGTTACGGTACAATCTCAATCTTAATTTCATGTCTATTCTCTCGAAGCTCTTAGCCATCGCAACCTCCCCTCTATAAGAAAACGTCTAGAGTCAGTCAACAGATCCTGAAAGAATACGTACCTTGTCAACTTCACRAAGATACCAAAATTGTTGTCCAAATTCGTACAAGAACCAAGATGGCGCCCTTTTGTTGGTCGACTCGTGCGTTCTTTTTGGTGCTGCTGTGTTCGCACACGAAATTGGCGCTTTCTCAGCAGAGCCCCGACCTAACGCAAAAGGAGGACGACCTTATGCTGGCCCCCGAGAAGAACCCCTTGGATGCCCTCGGAACGGAAGACGTGGCAATCCTGAAGAGCTCGTGGGGGCTGACCGTCAACAACCAATGCCTGTACGAATTCGTGTACAAATTCGAACACAACCCCCGGCTCCCGATCGGGGACGACAGCTTCCGGGGGAAGTGCAACTTTGGTGATCTGAAGGCACCAAAGGAACCCAGAATTGCGCCCGACGGCATTCCGTACCTTCATCCCCGGCGGTTCTACGAGCGCTTTCCCAACTATGTGTGGGCTACCATGGGATTCAACCACCTGAGCGTGGACTGGTTGCCCTGCGGTCGCAGGCCGGCGGGGTACAAGACCGCTCAGTATGACATGTCAGTAAGTCGAAGTGGAACATCTTTGCGAATCATTTTGAACTCTCGGAACCATTGCGTGCGGGCGAAAATCTGTTTGCCAGCAATTTTCTCAACCGATTGCAATTCCAACAATTCGACTCCTGTTGTCTGTTTATGATTTGCGTGTTCCCATAGTTTTTCCGAGTAACACCAGAGTTCCGAGCAGAAACCATGACGTGCAAGCTGAAAGAACCCGGCTCGATGACGATTGTTCCGGGCGAGGAATTTTGCGACACCGAGCAGGATGATCCCAACGGAATGAATTTTTTCGTCGTCCCCGCTTCCGTTACCGATCGCGAGCCGGTCGTCAACATGCCAAAGGAGTTCACACACAAAGACCTGACCGACGCACCGCTCCCCCACATCGGTCTCCGCTCGTGGAACAAGGCCGTGGTCCCGGAGCAGCCCGGCGGGTGGAACGATGTTCCGGCGTTCATGTCGAGCTATGCCGGCAAGACCGTGATGTGGCAGGCGCACATTCCGTACAAATTAATCAGCGGAAATAACCGGCAGTTTCGATCGAACGCCGATCGCTACTACGAAACAACGATACCGACGATGCCCGACACCTGGTCGGTGAAATACGACGAAGTAGACGGGACCATTGAATTCACCATGGTCGGAAACGCCCAGCTTTGTCGGGGAGACTTCGATCGAGCGCAAGAAGCAGCTGGAGGCCCCCCCGTCTTTCCCGTGTGGGTAGACCCACCTCCCGGGATGAAACCCTCCGACGACGAAGGGAAGAACCCGCGCGAAGGCCGTGATGGCGGCGACGGTGGCACATCCGGATCCAGCGACGACCATTCGTTCCGTACCATGCTCGCTACTTTGATTTTGCAGAGTTCGGTGTTCTTTTTTGCAATGTAAAGAACCACGGTGAAACGATCCACGAAGGAACGACGGAATTAGAATGTATATTACCATTACTTGTATCTTGCTTTGTCAAAATATTTCGATTCTTCGAAAATAGTGCCAACAATCACAATAAATTGCAGTRCTGTAGTACGTCATCAGATGCACAATTCGACTATTGTATCTTCTCAGTTATMGGTAGTCTATGACTTCTCAATCGTTTTTAGAAAAATCTGGGGATAGCCAACAGAGCGCCGTACCAGTGATATTGAATGAGCGCAAGCTGATTTTTCCAAAAGCACAATTATGGTTGCAGCAGAGCTGATATTGCCCGGTGATTCCTAATGAATTTACTACAACTGAAACCTTGAAGTAAGAATGTTGTTAGCTTCAAGAATTTGAAGTCGTGTTTCTTCCGGTAAAAGAAATTCCACCCACGTTTAGTGCTAGCTACTACTGCTGCTGTTTCATACAGAATTTATTTCTTCTTGGAAATGGTTTAGAAATTACTGCACTTCTAACACTTTACCTGGTACAATACTACTGGAGTACTCATAGCTAATGGAACAAATGATTTGGATGACAGACTTTCTTGGGTTGGCTGTACTAGTACGCATTGCGCATCAATTGAAATGACATTTCACACCAGGGCATTCCAAATGTTGGAATTAAAGCTCCTCCCAATGTTAACTTAACATACTGAATGTTAGCAGCATAGACAATGTAGTAGTAGAAATAAGTACTGCCTTTTTGCTTTCAATTTAGTGTCCTGAATGCTCTACTTAACAACAATCTGAATGTTAGCAGGGTAGTCATCCTCCTTGTTTGTCTTTTTTTAAAGAAACAAGATTGGTTTTTGGATGTTGCGTGCTACCAGATGAAGAAGGMACTACCAAATGACAAAGAATGGGGATTATAGTACCAGAATGTACTATATACTAGGCCTACAGTGATATACTAATATTCCAAATGTTAAGTTTATATTGGGAAGAACTTTAATTCTGACACCATTGGGAATGCCCTGTGTGCGAATGTATAGATAGMTATTCCTCTCTAGTGCTGTATAACTACTATGTGTTTACAATAAAGAGTGAGTTGAGGCACCATCATGGAGTGCTGGCAGTGGACGCCTTTGCCGTTCACTCACTAKCTACTCGTTATTTAGCCTCCTCATAATCTGTGAATATATTCTCTGTAGTGCTTGACTAGTACGTGTTTACAATGAAGAGCGAGTTGAGGCAGCAGGGAGTGGCGGAGGACGCCATTGCCGTTCACTCACAAGCTACTCGTGATTTAGCCTCACACTGTGAAACCTAGTTTCAATTGATGCGCAACGCGTAGCAATAATTTTACATACAGGAGCACGAAGGACGATAGAAACGAATTGGATTTACTACGGACGTTTTYTTRATCACAATCATCTTCATCCAATCCTGCTTGTTTCTTTTTCGAAACGTCAACATGGCAACGATTAAGCCCTTTAATATTATTATTATTTGTTCTAMCTTACCGTACTGTAGTTCGTACTGGATAATATKTTTAAGAATTTTCTCTTTTTGATACTTCGYACTCAGTTTTGAAACAACCGAGGCCACTTTTTGAACGTAAACGGTCGCAAGATCAATTCGACCGTACCGGTACGGACCTACTCTGATTCTGAAATGTCCGTTCCGTCTCCRTTCGATAGTTCCTCCTGAACAGTAGTTCGTTGCCAATCACAGTTCCACCGTTGGCGTTGCCCCCCAGGATGGTTTTTTTTAGGTACAGTAACATTTTAAGAAACTTTCCTTTTGAGAATYATTAACTGACAGACAGCCAATGCATTTTTGTATGCGTCGCCCATCCAATTCCAAAATTCTTCTTCTCTTCCTCGAAAAKCCAGCAAAAGAAGCCCTCTCTCTTCGAAACATTATTTCTTCAAAGTTTGCTCTCTCAATAGGTATCCGTGATTCTACAAGTACTGCATTTCATTTTGTTTCATCTCTTCTTTTCGACAACATGATGAATTTCTCACGACAATCTTTACCATTGAAATCTGCTCCAATCAAGAAGCGTTATGGTCACAAACCAACCGTCAACAACTGCCAATTGGATCACCAAGACAAAGGAAACGGTCCTATCTCTACTGCCAGCTTGAGTGAAGACGGGAAAGGAAAGAAAGCGAGCGGCAACGATCAGGAATCAAAAACGCTACGTTCCAAAACAACAGGAATTGCCAAGAAACGCAAAGGGTCTGAACTCATCAATGAAAGTGGCAAGAAGAAAGAAATGGACTTTGACCGCAAGGAAGAACGAAAGCGCAATACAGACCGCAATCAAACGAAACGAAGGCGCCTGCTCCACAATCGCASCGGTGACAAACAACGCGGTGGCAAAAACCACCTTTCTGCCAGAACGAGATCCTCATTCGAGATCAAACAGAGGATCATTGTACCGGGCCATAAACAAAAGGTAGCGGATTACATTCAACACATTGTCGGGTCACGCTCCCTCTCCAAGAAGAAGAGTTGTCGCAAATCTGCTAGTGTGACGAAGCAACCCGATCCGATGACCAACACCAAACGAACAAAGATTGATTGTAGAACCCAATCTCTCATGTCGATGGTCGGGAAAAAGATCGAAGTTAAGTCGGACAAGTGCGATGGAACCACCAMATGGCACAGTGGTATTATTCAATCATGTTCGGGAGATGGAAGCGAAGCGATTCTCGTCTATGATGAAGACGGGAGCAATCCAGTTCTATTGAATCTTCGAGATCCCCCCAAATGGCGTCCAATGGAAACTGCTTCCGACCAGGTCAGCTGCAGTAACACCACAACCATCGAGAAATACCAGCAAGGAAGGACTACAGATCACCAATTGCTACTGCCAGCCCCTCGTCCAAAAGTCRTCGTTGTCTCTTCAGATGAAGACGTCCGTTCTATGTCGACTAGTACTGATATTGCGAAGCAGGCTACATCTTCGGAAAACACCATCAGGAAAGAGAAAACAAAGAAGCGATTAAAGACACAGAAACTCGAACAACTGAATCGTTACTCATCGACATTGTCCCAATTGATTCGTCAGGAGAAAAAGAAACAACATCATAAACAAGATCTAGAATCGAAACTGGTGGAGAAAGAAGCACGAAAGGAAGCTCGTGCTAAGCACCGCAAATCTCGAGAGCACATCGCAAGACGACGGCAACGACTTCCGCCTCCCATCAAGCGGTCTACTATCACTGTTCTGGCAGACATCGACGCGAAAACTGAYATCAATTTAGATGAAGGAAAAGAAMCATATAGTGCTTGTAAAGAGATACCCAGAAATGGTTGCCCAGTCATCATGGAAGACGAGCAAGAATTGTCCAACAAAGAAAACAAAGAAAAGATGAACACTTCCAACAGCGACTCAAGTAAATCTACTCACAACACTCACACGACCGAAGTCAGTAATGAAGTCCACGAGACTGAGAGAAACAGCCACAGTCACACCACAAGCAAGAACAGTAATACGATTACAAGCGAAAAGAGTACCCTCAAGACCACCACCACTAACAGTGTTGTCGACAGTACTATGGTCAGCACAAACGATAGTAACATTAGTGTCACCAACAACAGCACCAACAATATTGTGARCAGTAGCGACAAGAACAACGAAACGTCGCARCTGCAAAAACTAAATGATATGCCACTTCTTTCGATGGAAACGATCCGGAGTGATCGTTTCCGTCGAAAGMAGCTTTCTGCTGTTCCCTTGAATTACCATAGAGATGAAGCACTTCGCAAACACAATACAGCATCATACTATGGTGCTATTGCTGATACTTCAAGGTTACTAGCAGGACTCGGAAATCAGCAACAAACACCRGTCCTGTATGACACAGGGCGAGGGTTTAACCARAACTCTATTGCTCTCTCAACGATCCGGAGCGATCGCTTTCGAAGAAAAAAACTTTCTGCTRTTCCCTTGAATTACCACAGAGATCAGGCACTCCTTAAACACAACACAACATCCTACTATGGTGCTGTTCCTGATRCTTCAAAGTTATCATCAAGACTCGGATATCATCAGCAGACACCAGTCTTGCATGGCACAGGGCAAGCGTTTCACCAGAATTCGATTGCTTTCTCAACGACCCAGAATGGTCGCTTTCGTCGAAAGAGACTTGCTGCTGTTCCCTTGAACTATCATAGAGATCAAGCACCCCTCCAAAGCATCACATCACCGTTCTCTACTTATGATACATYAATCCAACCTRGCATAGGGGAAGAGTTTCGTTTGAATCCTATAATTCTCAATGATAGGCACGCCATAGGAAAAGGATCTAAGTTGGATCCTATTACTATATATGAAAGTGACACGTCAGATGCTGAGGATGTYTAGGATTCAATAAATGATTAAGAACGAAACTATCWTCGTGCTCAATGCATTGATTCTGAAAGACGACAGCAAGAACAAGAAGAAGGGCAGCAAGAACAACGACAAGAATCGCAACCTTGACAACAATAACAGCAGCAGCAACAACGGCAGCAAGAGCAAGATCACCAACGCCACAAGCAAAAACACCAACATAGCCAACAATAGTAGTGGTGACAATTTTTCCAACTTGTAGTAGTATCAGCAACGCCAACAACAACAACAACAACAACAACAGCAATATCGATAGCAAAATAGCACACCTCGACGGTTGCATTTCAATACATTCAGTCTAATGGAAGCCTTCAAGAATAATCTTTTTGCTATCTATGTTGTCAACTGCAATTCCAAGGATTGTGGAGCAGAGCCGATTCTTTTTCACAGTTTGGATTGTTGCCCATTGCTGAGAGCAACTACCACAAAATCTGAACCAAGACAACCATCTTAGTATTACGCACATTCAATCGATTGAATTCCTAGATCTAGACATTCGCTTTCATCGAAACATGCTGGACATCAATGGCAACGAATGATCGCTGGTAGGGTAATCGTTTGTAAAATGAACGCATTGCACCCATTTGCACACCCCTACTACTGTCTAGAATCATGTAACACGATTTGAAAAGCCGCATCACTCGTCATCATAGTCGTCGTCGTCTTCATCATAGTCATCATCGTCGTCCAATAAAATCTGACCGCTCTCTACCCGCTTCCAATACTCGGCCATGTCCTCCTCTTCGGGGGCCATGTACACCCACACGATCATGCCCGCTACGAGCGCCAGCGTCAGCGGAAACACAACGCGTTCCGCCGTGGTCTTCGTCGGTGGGTGGGGCGGAGCCGTCCATACCGGCGGTGTCATGCCGGCGTAGTCCAGGCGTTTCAATCCGTATCGGCCCATGTCGAGGYYAGAAGTGGTCTTTCGTCCAGCCGAGGTGTACCACGTGCGTTCCACGCCCCCGTTCCCGGGAACAGAGGGTTTCGGCTTGGGCTTGCCCGGTTTCGAGGACAGCGAGCGAAGCCCCCGTCGCGCGATCGGAAAGTGGTGGTTGTTGCTGTTGCCTTTGCCATTGGTGGCGGTTTCGGTCGATATTCTTCTCGTGACATTTCCAGTCCGTCGGACCTGTGTCGTAGATACCGYGCCATACAATGTTCTCGTTCGAGCCAACCCAAATGCGTTCATCATATCGTATTGCTGACAAGCCGAMCCAGCTGGACCGTTCCGTAATTAGTTGCAGTGGAGTAGTCTTTGAAGCGCTGTGCTACAGATATTATTGGCAGACTCCGTTGTTAAGGGTTGGATGGTTTAGAGGAGTTGGCTAGTCGGGAAATTAGGTTGTTGTTGTGTTCAGGATGAAGCTTCTCTTTACATGTGCAGCGAGGTCGTCGACGTTTTTTCCATTCTTTGCATTCTTTTCATTCTTTCCTCCTGCTTTTTAAGGATCCCAGTACGGTAAGGATCGGACTTTCAAGAAWGAGAAAGAAATTCACAAAACCAAAAAAAGGGGAATTCGGGGCTGACGTTGTGTTCTTTGCGTCGAAAAGGGGGGGAGGATCAAATTGGTGGAAATTGCTTGGTAAGCATGAAGAAACGTGAAAGCTGCGTTAAACATACGAGTACCATAGCAGGTACGAGTGCTTCTTCGTAGTAATACCCTAGGTAACGTTCCATGGAACATGCRAGTCTTTCTTTTTTCTCTCAGCGCCTTTCCCGAGCGGTGACAAACAGTTGACACTTGACAACACATGCTAGTACAGCTACGAGCTGCAGTCGTAGGGGTAGAACCATACCCATACCCACACCCGTGCGCATCGCATCCCATCTTRCCATTGGAGCSTCATTCACTATCGTAGAAGAGCATCCATCGGTTGCAACCAACGCCAAACTAAGAAGTAGGAAGARTCTGTCTTATTCATTTTCAATACAATATCGAAGAAGTGCATCACATTTATTCAACGCTAAGAACGACACCATATTAGTGAAGGTTGCCTGATTTGTATCCTATCATCAGTATCCATTAGTATCATCCCGTAGCAAGCGAGCAAAACCTTTTGCTGTTTCGATCCATTCCATTCTCGATACACATACGCGTCACTTCGAAATTTTGCAATGGGCAATCAACCAAGCAATGGAGGAGTTCCGGGAGGACACCATGGTCAGAGTCCTTCCGACGATCAGAGAAGGCACCACAACAACAATCGAGGGGGAAGCGCCTCCTATTCGGGATACAACGGCGGTGCCTATCCGCAGTCMWCCGGGCCTAATGCACAGGGTGGTGTCGGGGGACAGCACCAGCAGCACCAAACACACCAATCGTCACAGCACCACAACAAGATGATGTCGCGATCGAGCAGCGATGCCTCAATGTCCGGCGTCGGGGGCGGGGATGCCGACCACACGGTGAAATCGGGCAACCCCGCGGTCGAAAACTGGCTTGACGACGACACTGTGCCGACGGTCTTTCGGTGGGAGCACGGGGGCCGGCAGGTCTATATTACGGGGACCTTCAACGGGTGGTCGCGCCAGATCCCGATGCACCGATCAGGTAACGACTTTACRTATATCCAYAACCTGAAACGAGGAAAACATGCCTTTAAATTCATTGTGGACGACGAGTGGAGGTTCGCCCCAGACCAGCCCACAGTTGCCGATATCGAGGGGCGAATCAACAACTTTATAGATGTTACCGATTTCAAGCCCTACACGGGCGACCGCGAGTTTGAAAAGGAAAAGGCGGCTGCGGAATACGGGTTCATAGCCGACGAGGACGAGACGTCGGAGGCACACGACGACGATGGTCCCGACCGGGACGGCGAGATCTTCTCCCAAACCATGCCCGATTTGGACGAATACACAAAGGTAGGTTTGTATTGTTCTGTTCCGGCTGCGAGCAATAGTGTCGGCCCGAGCAACAAATTGCGCTGCCGTGTGGTTCGGTATGTTCCGGACCCTGTCCTCGATGATCCTTTTTTGTCTTGTCACCGAAACCGCATTGCTGATTTCGTTGTTTGTTTGTTCGTCCATTTTTGTCTCCTGTTGAAATGATTTCGAAACCCTTGCTCACATTGAAACCGAATTGCAGGAACCACCCCCGCTGCCCCCCCACTTGCGCCACATCATTTTGAACAAGCCTCCCCAGCTCCAAGACACGGCTGCCCTTCCTGTTCCACAACACGTGGCTCTGAACCATCTCTACTGCACAGCCATCAAGGACAACATGATGGTCCTTGGAATAACACAGCGGTACAAGACCAAGTTTGTCACGACCGTATATTACTCGCCATGCGCCAAGTAGCGAGGCATTGGTGAAAGGARCAGACGCGGCGCTGTGCTATCGACCTCGGCGCAAACCAGAAATGGGTTGGCAGACGCTGTTGCGCATCGGTAGAACTCAATGACTATCCTGTGGAAATAATATGTGGCTATAGACAAAACAATCATTCTTGGATGCATTGTGGTACGCAGCTACGATTCCTTCGTGTGAAGGAGTGCGTGTTTGCTAGTTGTTACTCTCTTGTCGAATCTTAACATTCCTAAACAGTAGGGGTAGTCGTAGGAGTACACCAACTGGTAGGAAAAATGCTTCAGTATTGTATCAAACCTCTAGCAACGCAAATAGCACTGACMACAMTCGATCGTTCCCAAACAATCTGTTCCAAGCGTGATAAATTATATTATTAYGTGTACATAAATGATTTTGGWCCTAGTCACCACGTTCTGCAATCTTTCCAAGCGATGATAGAATTTTTTTAAAATCCGTCGTTGCGGTATCCACCGTCGCTTGACGACGATCCGTATCCATCATCGTTTCTGAAGTCGTTTCTGCGTGGAGCGCCTTGGACGTAACCTCCCATAGGTCCCGTAACATTTTGTGCCTTGATCTTTCCATTGGTAGGGTCTTCCATGGTGGTGAATTCAACCGGTTCTCCTTCCTGCGGACGAGCGAATCAAGAAGCATGTGCACGACGAGGTGAGAAAACAAAAACGTGTACAATTCGACGGCCGACACAACACCGGGCGTGACAACACTAAATTAATTCATTCCTGCGGCACCCCCCCCAACTTACGGCTAGAGATCGGAATCCTTCCGCGTGGACCGCCGTCTGGTGGACAAAAACATCGTCGCTRCCATCATCGGGGATGATGAAACCGAAACCTTTCTTTACATCAAACCATTTGACGGTTCCCGACGAAATCGAATCCGAAAAACACCGAATGCTGAGCGGGGTGTTGATGGCAAGTCTGTTGGCAGCAGAGAAGCGGATAGCTGAACTCCGGGCGGCAGTTTTCAGAATAGACCCAAACATCTTGGTTGTATGCTGTTTGCTATTATCGATTAATACAGAACGACGGTTAATGCAATGCAATCTTGTTGTACCCTAGATCTGTCTTTGGCTCTGTCTTCGGCTCTGTCTTCATGAGAATGCCGAGTCGCCGTACGAACCGAATAGTATCATTCGATAGTTCCCCGAAGGTTTCATTAGAGTCTGTTCATGATTGATTCAGCAAAAGGTTGGTGGCCGATGTAAAATTACAAAAAGCCGCGCGTAGCGCGCAATGTCACCCTCTCCCGCGACTCTACGTACGACTTACCGACCGGCAGATCGACCGATTTTCAAAAATAAGACGTACCTTATGCTCCATAATATGGATCCATAGGTACGTACGGTACCGTGAGCACAATACATTCTGTGTCACAATGGATTCGCATTACTATCGTATTTTTTCTTACCGTACATAATTTACTCATACCGTACGTACTGGTACGAGCACGCTATTATTCCTCCTAGTACTTGCTTAGCCGTTAACAATTCGTGAATGAAATTCCACGTGTTTGAACGTCCAATTTGTCAAAGATTTTGATTCAAAATCGGAAGGCTGTCGAGTGCTAAGRATCCTTCGAAAACGTTACGTACTTTTAATACGAGCAAAGACATCCGTATTCTGTACACCTACAGTAGCAAGAGTACGTGTCTTKGAATGTCWCGTAAATGGCCGTACAAGTAAATATTAATACAACTGAAGTAAACTAKAGTGACACTAGATATCATCGATCACCATAACAACTARCTATCCGCAAATATCCGGAACGCTATCAATTTGAAACGAGGTCATGAAGCTTTTCCTCCCCCTGTCGGTTGTGACACTGTGGCTGGCCAAATCCAACGACGCCTTCCACTTGCCCGCTACAACGAGAACACTGAACCGCTACACTTCCGAATCAAGAACAACGGATGCTACACTTTCTGTTCTTTTCGCTAATCAATCCAATGAAGCTAACGACAACGAACAACGCGCYGTTGGTCAGAAGCGTAGGCGCTTGATGGCAAAGATGAAAAAATCCCTGGCATTTCTTGTCCCTGTTGCGATTGCTGGATCCTCTCTGGTGGCGAATCCCGAAGCCGTTCACGCCGGAGCACCGGTGATGGCAATCCCGAAAGCAAAACCTAACGATCCGGTGCAAAAAGCCTTCGACCGTCAAGAGTCGAAGGATATGATGGAAGCTCAACAGGAGCTTTCTGCATTCCAGGCCAAGGCTAGGGCCATCGAGAAAGAAAGCGGACCGGAAGCCCGTGACAAGTTTGAGAAGGAATACAAGGAATCTCAGAAGAGAAGGGCGGAGGAAAAGGCAGAAGGACTGGAGCAACTGAAGCGAGACCTTCTCGACCAAGGAATTGATCWCGACTTGGACATCGAGGGAAAACGTCAGATGACTCTCTACACTCGGGGTGTTGATCTCGGACAGGTCGACGGTACACCACACAACGTCGAACAGAGATATCTAGAACAAGGCTCAGACAAAGCCTTTGCTGTCCAGAAGAAGGCACACCGTGAAATCATCAAGGCCATGGTACAAGATCTGAAAAACAGAGGCATGGATCCTCTGAAATACTTCAATCTCAACAAAGAAAAGACCGAGATGATCTTGAACCTGCCCACGGAGAAAGCAGAAGAATTGGCAGTGAAATATAAYAGCAACCTCGAATTATATGGACAAATTTCGGTTCCGAAAGAAGGCGAAAAGAGTGCAAAAGAACTGATGGCAGAAAGCGGAAAGGGAAACAACGTCAGCAAAGAAGAACAGAAGCGTCTCAAAGCTGAGGCCAAGGCAAAGGCTGCTGCCGAAAAGGCAGCGGCGAAAGCAGCAGCGAAGGCCAAAAAAGACGCCGAAAAAGCCGAAAAACTTGCTGCAAAAGAAGCTGCGAAGGTCGAAAAGGAAGCCGCAAAAGAAGCTGCGAAGGCCGAAAAGGAAGCCATGAAAGTCGCAGCCGCTGCGGCCAGTGCAGCAGCTGCTTCTACTGCTGTAGCTGTGGATGCTGTACCAGTCCCTGAGACCGGCGGTGRCATCATCGGTGATGACGCTGGACTTGGCGAGACCGCTGTGGTCGAGAGCGCTGAAGAAACTAAACCACAAGGGAAGAGCAAAATTGTCAAGACGTCGGCCGTACTTGTAACTGTTGGAGGTGGAGCTTATGCATTTAAAATGGTAAGAGACAACGCAGCAGCCGATGAGGAAGAAAGACAGAGACAGTTGCAAATGCTGATGGGACAGAGTGYTGTTGAAGAAAGCAGCGATGCTGGGGTCGCCGGTATTGATTTTTACGAGGATGCCGGAGATRACGAAAAGGCAGCCGAACCAGTTGTTGAACCACCGAAGAAAAAGAAGAAGAAAAGACGAGGATTAAAGTCGGTGTTTAACAAGAAGAAAAATTCCAGAGAGACCAACATCGAGAATCTAGTAGCGCCAGGTGTCGCTACTGCCGATTTTTCCAAAACCCTTGCGAAAATCCTCACCTTYGGGGCCCCAGGACGCTTCCCCGACGTTACCGGCCTCCCTGGTCCTATGCCTCTCGAGACGTTTGATCTCGACAATGCAAGCAGCATTCTTGTAGAAGCYCAGACGGCCGCAGGAGTAACAAAAGAAGAGTCAGCAGAAATTTTCGCAAACGTGGTGAACTGCATGTTGATTGATATTGTTGATCTCGCATCGACTTCACTGAAAGAAAAAGACGAAAAGGTAACTATAGATGCCATTGGCATTGTCATCACGTTTATGGACCTAGCAGCATCGCTTTACGGGTCGATTGCCGATGGAGTTGTTATCGCTCCCGTCACCTACGGTGGAGATATTAGCAAGAGCAAGTTGGAACAAATGTTTACTGCTTACGCGATGTCAGGAATGGCAGATTTTGCAAGCATGGACGAGAAGTTCGACAAGCGAGTTAGYCTGCTGCAAGATGTGTTCCAAATCAATGCAAAGAAGGCCGAAGGCCTTATGATGAAGGCTATGCAGAAGAACATGATGGAAATGATGAAGGGCGGAGAAATGCCTGCCGGTATGGAAGAGATGATGAAAGGCATGGGTGACATGGGCGCAATGGGCATGCCGGGCATGGGTGACGGCGAAGAACCGGATCCGGAGCAGCTCAAAGAAATGCTTCGAGCATTGAAGGATTTGAAGGATTCGGGAGCCCTTCCAGATTCAGAGCTAGCAGAGGTTAGAAAGCAATTCAAGGAGGCCTTCGGTTCGAGTATAGATGATGTCATGAAGGGAGCTACTGATAGTGGAGACGAACTTGGTGCGCAGGACAAAGAGCTACTGGATCTGATGAAAGACATATTAGAGTAAGCATACAGGATTGTACTCGATCACACAAGTAAAAAAAATAAGGCCYATTACTGTAAATGAATCAAAGCACGGAACAAACTGTAGGGCTATTTGCAGTCATGCACTAAATAGAGCATCCGTTGTCGAAATTATCTATAAATTAGATTACAGTAAGTGCATACAAATATGACCCATTGCTGCCTCCGAAACTTATTAACAATTGTGCGGCATGAAACACAGTACATCATCTCCTGTCAACACATCTCTCCGCAGTATGAGGCGCTCAATCCGAAATGTCGTGGTGGATGCACTAGTAATTCTCGCAAGTCAAGATGGGAASTGGTCGTTGGGTCACAAACCAAAGGACAAGGAAGTCATTGATTCYTTATGCTCTTCCGACCATGTTCAAATCCAAAAGAATCTGAAATGCTCTTTCGCCAACGTCGTCGATATCTTTGTACTTCTTTGCGAGATCCTTGGCCCGCCCATTCGAGAGTTTGATCTTTTTTYCGGTGGGAAAGTTGGCTTCGGGCTCTACCACTGCAATTGTATTGCCGTTGTCTTTCCCCAKGATCTTCTTTACTTTTTTCGCGATTCTCGCTCTCTTTCCAAAAAGCTCCATTTGCGTTGATCTACTGTTTCCGACTTGGATCTGTGCCTGGAAAGATTCTCCTGTGTTGACCAAGGCCAAAACCAAGACCGAAAGGAACACCACCATGATTGGTGTAGTGGATTGCATCTTGGTTGTACTTTTTCAAGAAGTGGATTTGGTATCTATGTTGTGCCGAAGAAGAACGAGTGCTATACCTGTTTGGTTTGTGTTTTGTGGAACGTTGMATTCCATGATATTCGTGCTTCTTCCGCCCGAGGTTAAGAAACTGTGACGAATGTGTTCGTGTAGCAGTTCTCCCATTCCTTGTGCTCAGCAAGGGCGGGTCGCTTTGCCAACAAAATCTGGAAATACCGACACGTCGACAGCGCGTGCCGATTAGCATACGACACTAAAGAGCACACGTACATTTTGCACGTAGTTCGTAAGGTAAATTAATCGATTCTTGCCGTACGACTGGATCATTTCCATTTTTCGAGTCAAGTGAGTCGGTACAGTACGTACCCTCTAAAAGTCGGAGGTTGTTGCCTCATCCACCGAAGAAGACGTGCACGCTCGCGGAAACACCTTTTCAAAAATGGCCCACTTGATTTTTCTCCAAGGTGTAGGTGATGGACCTTCCGCAAACAGGTTCCAAGCGAGAGAGATGACTCGACAGTCCTGTACCGGGGATTGGGGGAAGTAGACAACAAACAAGTCTTGGTCAATAACCTGGGCCATCAATAAGAARATTTCCGTGGGAAAGAAAGTCGGAAAACAATTCAACCATGTCTAAGCTCCAAGAACTCAAAGAGGGTCTCTCAAAGATCAAAGTCTTGGAGGCAGAATTGGCCAACKCCAAATGGAACGAAGATCCGTCTCCGAAGTCTGTCTCAGACTTTCAAAATTCTCTGTTGGAAAGATACCAAAGAGCCAAGTCTTTGTACATACAACGCAGGTTAGAAAGCTTCATGGTGGAAAACGTTTCCTCTTTCAACGAAAGCAATAATGAATTTGAGATTCCCGATATTTCCAGCATTGAAGAAACTGGSAGTAGCAGTTCCGACGACGACGAACTGTCTCATCGCAATAACAACGATGCTGCTACCCGCAGTTTGGATGAAAGGCACGCGAAGGCCCTTGCAGCTCTGGAAACAGCAGCCCAGGGCATCCGTGTAACTCTTGACAACATGAGAAACTCCTACCAGACGGTTATTAGTCGCAGAAAGGAGTTGGAACAAATGGTCCAAGACCTGGAACAAGACGACGATAACGATGAAGAAACGGATATCGATGAGGATGATGAGACAATGATGGACATCGAAGACACAGATGCAGAGCGGGAAAAGACCGAACTACTGCAGCAACGCAAGCGAAAACTGCAAGAAGAGTATGCCATGCTTTTGAAAGAAAAGGAGGAGCGAATGAAAACTATTTCCCACAGTCGCGAGGAGCTCGCCACGCTCAAGGCAGAAGAGTCCAGGATACTCCAATCGGGCCAAGATCCAACAGAATTTAAACAAAAGATCAAGGAACTCAAAGAAATGAAAGAATTTTACGATAGTCTTAGAGACGTCATGGAAGAACTAGGCAGTGTTAAGATTTTGGATGCAAGAGAGGACAGTAAAAGTTGCCATTTGTTCCTAACTGTGTCCGTTTATGAAAAGCATCGAGTGGAATTCGAATTGGAAGTTTATCGCAAGACGTTGCTAAAACTGGTCAACGCAAGGTGGGTATCCAAGCCCATAGTAACCAGCATCTCCTTAGACGACATCCATCACGAACAATTTTCGCTGCCACTCGAYCCGTTCGACGACCTTGTCCAAACCGCGAAAACATCCATGGGACCCCCTCATGACTTGCGATTTGTCGTCCGAGAGACATGTGCTAGAATTCGAATCGTGCAGAGCCGAGTGAATGATCTTGCGATATTGCGGAGACGTGTTCTGACCAAGGTGGTGGGGAACGACCAAGTGGTCTGCAGTCTGAACGAAGGCATTGTGATTGTCATGCGACTGTACGACCAGTGGGTGAAGGTGGAACAGGTTATAGGGGTAAGCGGATGGGACGACTCCGCGACTGAAAAAATACATAAAGTCGTATCAAAAAGGGATGAATCATGGACGCCAAATCTGGTTGTAGAATTCGTTCAGAAAGAAGTCGAGAGGCTCAGAGCGCAAGATGGACTGGTTCTTCCCAAAACGCCGGTCTTACCAATGAGACGAAAAAGACAAGCTGACGAGAAATAAGGCAATGAGAAGTATAGCTCTTGGTGAATCTCTGCCAAAAAAATCATGTTGTTATTGTTTTGGGCGTAATTATGTAGCGTATATCCATTTCTCCCCGATCACAAACGGGGGAGAAATCTTTGTTCGCAGTACTCTTGGTCCCTTGAATGATCGTAGGATGGATTGTTTGGATTCTGGTGCTCTTCGATCATTCCTAGATCGCACAATACTGCGTATGCWCGATCCTCAAGACTCTCCATTTGTGCGTATTTCTCCGCAAGCTTGGACTCTTCGTCGGAAGATTTCGGTTGTCGCAGAGCTACTATGGTCTCTACCCTACGATCAGAAATTGTAGGCGGCGGTGGTGTTGTCACAGACGTGACTGGTGAGACATCTTCACCTTTGCCTTCAATCAGTTCGGAAGAAATATCAGTATTTACATCATTAGACTCGCCTTTGGTKGGTTCTTCGTCTGTATCCTGGGTRTCTTCTTTTGATTCGATTGCACTGGAAACATTCGTAGTTTCAGGTTCGATCAGTGCTTCCTTACTTTTCTCTTCGGTCTCTTCATCGCAAGCMCCCTCTAGATCAGATGAGGGCTTTTCATCGACTTCTGTTCCAACTTTGCTTCCGGTGTCCTTTTCGTTCTCTATTCGGACTGCRCGGGCGCTGTCATACTCCAGTTTCTGCTGGAGCAATCTTCTCTGAAACAATTCAGTGGCCTCTGATCTCTCTGCGATAGCCGCAACAGAGTCGATTTCTTCCGAACWTGAAGCTTCTTGTACCTCAGCGACTTCTTCCGGTGTCTTGCATTCCTCTTCATCTTTCTCGGATTCTTCAGATGACGATTCGTCGACTACGCTGCCATCGTTTGATTGGGTTACGACCGTGACCTCTTCGGTATTCTTTTGTCGCTGAGGAATCGATTCGGGTCGAAGGGCCGGTATGCCGGATTGAATCACTTCGAGAGGTTTTACTTTGATTTCCGGTATTGATGGAGATGGCTGAAGACTTTCGGCAACTTGGGCAACGGTTTCTTCCTTCTTTGCAACAGGGATCTCTTCTTCGGATTCCATTGTTGGTTCTTCTGGCATATCCGTCTCGGTCGCGCTACTGCTGTCATCATCTTCAATAATAAGATCACGAGCGTCATCAGTTTCGTTCTCTTTGTCGTCCGTCGGTGTAGACGCAGAAGTTTCTGGTGTGGCCGTTGTTTCTTTATCTTTCATTGCTGTTTCCTCCGGAAGAGTTGCGGATGCATCCGATGACGGTTGGCTACTCATCTGGAGAGCTTTTGTGATTCGCTCCACAACTTCTAAATCCATCTTGCTTTCTCCTTCTGGCTTCATTGCTTCTGCCATTACTTTTTCCAACAGTTGTACGGACAAGAATGCAGCCATTTCTTTGACCTTGTCGCCACTGCTAATGGCGGAAGACTCGGATGTTCTTTTTGCATGAAGGTTCATTTGTCGTCTATCCGATCGTGGCTTACGGATTTGAGTTGACTGGGATGGCACATCACTATGGCTTGGATTGCACGATGCCATTCGTGACATTGGTGTACATATTGTAGTGAAACCATTGACAATATACACCAAACATCCTATGCAAAGGATGGACGAAAAAAGTTGCGAACTTAGCATTTTTCTGTGGTCAAAGATCTTTCTGTTCAATCCCTGTCGTCTGAAAAAAATCTAAGCAAGCAAGATCCCGATCAAACACAGCTTCACTTTACAAAATCTGGWATGATCTCTTCCGTCCTCGCCTTCTTCCGTTTTCGCCGACCTCTAAAGATCGTGGTACCGCACAGTAAACGGATCAKGAACTCATTGATTTGTCAAGTGTTGGGAACGGTGAACTGCAGGGTTCGAAAGTCGTGGTACGTGGTACAGTACCGTACGGTACAGTCGATGATGATTTTCGGTCTCTTTTTCGAGGCAAGAGGTATGTTCCCATCACTTCAAACACTACAAATATTTTACACGTGTAACATTATTTTCAATTTAACGGGAGGCGTATGGACGTGCTTTGACATTTCATATTCGGGTTCCCTCGGTTTTTTACTGATTTTTTTAGAACGAAAATTTTTAAAAATTGAAGAATTCTTTGCGATCAAATTCTTTGAATCCTATCCTACAGTACGGTACCGTACCGTACGGTACTCGTACMTGGTATTGTACTGCTACGCTATCTGTTTTGTTGAGTTGAGGAAAGACAGAGTACGAGTATCGACACAGATACGAGTACGATGATCCGAGGTTCAAAACAACGTGACTCTGAAAGAGATGAAGATGAATAAGTCGCGCATTCAATGTTTGCTGTTGTCACTGGCAACGGTCAAGTTATGTGGAGCATTTACAGCAATTCCATCCCTGAACACGAGAATCGTGACGTTTGGAGTCACCAATAACGACAACGATGTCATCGACATCGGTCTATTCCGCACGAATAGTCAGAGCCCTTACGAAAGAAACAAGAATCAACGGAACCTACAAGAAAAAAAKCATACTCAAGGCTTTACCGAATCTATATTCCGAAAGCTAAAGACCGTCCGTTCAATTTTGCGCTTCCGACTTTCTTCCCGTTTTTGGAATATCAATAAAAAAAGGTATCTTTCCATAATTGCATCAGCCATCATAGTTGCCGGAACTTTTCCTTCTCAAGTCACAGCACAGCTTGCTACAAATGGTATTCCTTCGGTGAACAGCGCTCCGAAAATATCTCGTACAGTATCTGAAACCCAMTTCGTTCAAGATCTTGATTCTTCAGATAACCATATGTTCGATGGTTTTGATACCGAAGGCCTTGCTAGTCATGATGATGAATTTGCGATTGATGCCGAAGATTTTCGATTCGCTCGACCTGCTGTTGAAGATGTATCTCAAACACTGGCAGCARAAGCCAGCCATCCATTGGAAACAGATCTAATGGTTCTCAACGACATTATGGTCAAAAAGGGGCTAAGAAATATAGCTGTCGTTGGTACCGGAGCTGTAAGCTTGACCTTGCTAAAGAAGAAAGCCAATGCATCGAGCCTGATCTCTGGCGAGGAGAGCAAAATTGATGATGGTCGTCCTCAAAATGTGGGGGAAGAAACAATTCTTCCAGACCGTGAAGAGAGGACCGGCGCCATAGCCTTGAGCGAGGYAAAGAAGAGTTCAATTCTGCCTCTTGGTGGCAAAAAATACGTCGAAGCAAGAGCACAGCCGAAATCACCACTGAAGGAGGCGGAATTGGCGGCGCGTTATGCTGCAATCTCGAGCGTCGAGGAGCGAGCGTATCAGATTTTGATTGATCTGGGAATGATTGAGGTGACGAATTAATGCGCTGAGCGATTTCGTCAGAATTCAAAGTTTGATGTTGCTTTTGAAACTTCTCGCGTTGCAGTCCACGGTAATGCAGTATAGATGGCATGAAAATACGAAATTTCCACGATGTAGTTTATTTCGAATCTTCTACAATTATTTTTAATCCTAAATTTGGCTGAAAGGATGATCATCTGCTGTCTTTAACATTGTTTGAAAATGGAATGCTCTTGAAATAAACCCAATGCCTCAATACGGAAACTTCTGAATTGTTCGGAACTTTCTCATGGACTCGAAACGCAACGAWTACTTTCATCCGAAAATCTTACTATAATTTCAATACGAAGGTATATTGAGTATCATTGGCCAAATCGCTTCTGCAATGGCACCGAGAGCCGCCTATGGAAGTGTCAGTAGAGGATGTCGGTTGGAATTAGGTGATYTATTGATGATTTGCTGGATTTTCGGGTGATTTCTTCCACATCTGAAATATCTTCTCTTTGTATTGAGACAGTTTCAATCCTGGATAATCGTGTTTTACTTCCGGCATCATTCTCGTTTCGTATGCCTTGAATAAACCTTTTGTTGACATATTCTGACTGCCGCTGCCTAAAGTCATTTGATCTAAAGCAGCATTGATTCCGCTGAGAGCATGTTCTTCATCCAAAGCTTTATTTGCAGCTCGTCCAACAATATCATCAGTCGCTCCTTGCATCATGTCTTCCGTATTTGCTAGCAGTGGATCCATYGGTTTGTCCTTTTCCAACTTCTGTTTCGCTTCGTTCGTCTTCAACTTTTGGGCCTTGGCAAGTTCGGCTTTCTTCTTCGCCTTTTGTTTCTTTTCGGCTCCGCTCACGAGCGCGTCTTCTAGCAAAGACAAATCATTTTTCTTTTTCCCCTTCTTCTTTGAGAGTGTAGGCACTTTCTTTGCCTTCCCACCGTTTCCCAGGGCTTCTTCTTCCGCAGCTAACAATGCTGCTTTTTCTCGTTTTTTTCTGGCTTGTTCGTCCGCTTTAGCCGCATTTGCCTCGGATCGCGCTGCTCCTCTGTTGTTGGCCCCCTTGGACCATTCGGCTTGTAGATCTTTTTCACGTTGTGCCGCAGCTTTGGAATCCTTTACTGCCTGGGCAGCGGCCTTCCTTTCCATGGCAGCAGCGGCTTTTTGGTTCATTCCTCCCTTTGGTCTTCCCATTGTTGCTTGGCTTCTATGCTTTTGGACTTGCGTAAGCGTGTCTATGCGAAAGTCGTCAATTTGCTTCGTGGTGAATCATCGAGCCGAGAAACGCTGGAAGAAACCTGTTTTTGAAAGGTTCTGTCCAACTTGGATTTTGGGATTTGGGATGCCCCCCTAATCATGGAAGCCGAAGAGTCGAGAAGTAGAATTAAAGCCCATTCTTATGGCGGTCCATGACAATTTTTTTCATCATTTTTTTTYCAAATCAATAGAGAATGAAACAAAAAAACAACAATTATCTTGGRTTTCCTAGAAGAATCTCATGAAATTGCTAATATCTCCTTGTTACTCTGTCTTCAAATGTATTCTTCTTGTCGTCAACAAGGAGATGAACAATATTCTGATCTCTCTAAATATGAGGAAGGAACCCTTCTTAGTATGTGTGGCACACCAGCAGCTCTCCTGCAATCAGTTAGTACTATGAGCACAATAAAATACATAGATTTTCACAAACTGGAGCTATCACACACTCTATTCAACTTAGAACAGGAAGCAGATTTGGATTTTGTGGATTGACCAACCAAGTGGTAGTAGTTTGTTAGAAGAAGATATTAGTGCTGCAACTACCAAAAGTGAGCAAAAAATGAGAGACAAAGAAGGGCTTGGACAAGATCATTCAGGAGGAATAGTTTTTTGTTTTTTGGGTGCTGGATTCCATGTGAGAAAGGTTGAGATAAAGAAGCCATATACAGTGTACAATTCTCTTCATAGAGGAGGTATGTAAAATTTATACCAGCTCCAGACCTCCTCCTGTCTGTCCCAGCATCCCCTTTGGGGTTCCTTCTTCCTTCTTGTACTTCCTCTGTACCACTATTATGGACATCCATTGGTGACTCTGACTATGCTGTCCCTATTTGAAAGTCTCCTTACTTACTTAGTAACACTCACCAAAAGTTCTTTCATTCAACCCCCAATAAAATATGACTGTGTACTACAAGAAGAAGAACATGTCGTAGAATCAGTAGTACTGCTAAAACTAGAAATGTACATCATGTGTGTGATTAAAAATTATTAATTTCTTTTTCACATGAAAATGCACTCTATTTACTGGTAGGCAGATTCCAAAGTTTGCATTSACAATGGTTCTGAGCACCTCTTTTGAATAAAATGAACAATATAAGAAGGCAAGCTATCATAAAGTAGCGCAGGCCAGGCATTTCTGGATGCACCAATTGTACATTTGAAATTCAGATACATGGCCCTGAATAGCTTTCAATAATTGATAACCCCCTATAACMCTCCATATTACTATATTGGTGCTTAAATTCCCTTTCCATTCATGTGCGAAACATACTTCTTACTAGTACTACTAAGCACCATCTGTTGGGGACCAATGTATATACTAGCTGTTTGAGTGAGTTGATCCTTAGTTCACATTATAAGTGTTTTTCTACTACTGTATGTCTATTTTGGGCTATCTTTTTACCATGTAATGAATCATGGGATTAAAATTTGACTTGTACTACTAGGGCTACAGGGCATGTGCAAGCAAAACTATTTGGTTGCAAGACTGAAACTATTTAAGTCACAAAACTGCTGGTGGGAATAAAATTTAGCATGTGCCTGGCTGTAAACTGCAGTGCAAGGCAGTTTTTTGTCAGAGTACTAGTGTCATTAGACAAAAAATAGGGCCCAAAATCTACTGTTGGTAGTTTTGTTACTGGTTTCAAATAATTGTTAACTGTAAACTAATTACATACCCAGCAAAGTTGYATCAGCAYCAGAAAAGATACTACTTGGATCCCACAACTTTGTCTGTTACAACAACAAGAATATCTTTTCACCACTGTTGTTACAAAATTTTCTTCTTTTATTTTCTCTTTCCTTCTCCTCCCTCCTGCTGTTGGTGCTGTCTTCACCAACACCATCTCAGTGCTGCTGTGTCATGAGGAGTGCCACTTCAAATGTTCAAGAAGAAGAAGAAGAAGAAACAACTTCTTCTTCTTGTCAGTATCATCATTTTTGTTGATCTTGTTCCAGCTCAAGAGGTGTAACTGTACTTTTATTTTGGAATAGAGGTAATATGATTTGGAAGTAGTATGGTAGTACTTAGTGCTATGAAGTTTGTTCTTACAGTACAGTAGTAGCGTACTTCCTCTGTCCCCAATTAAATGTCTTTTTTGCACCTTTACTACTGAAATAAGGTCATTATTTGGGCAATTGGAATGCTTCTTTTTGGACTTAAAAGATCTATTATACTGTTATTCAGTGATGAACATTGTATCAAAGGAATTTGTCTGACGTACTTGCTGTAACTACTTAAAGAGGCTTGATTTTGGCATATGATTTTCATTTTACCAGTTGAAAGGGTTCTGCCAGTCATTTAACTATAGGGCGAGTGGCTATAAAGCTTAGAGTGAGAGCTTTATCATGATATTCTTATCATACTTATTGAGAATGTTTCATGCAGTCTTTAGTTGGTCACTAGAGAACCCAAATATAGCTCAGGCATGTACTCGGGCGTTGCAGTTTTCATGTGGTTTTTTGAATTTTGAGCTGGAGAACGGATACAAAGAGAAAAAAAGTGCTGTGGGCATGGTGCCAAAATGGTCTCCGTATTGTTTTCACATGATAATTTTCACTCTTGATTTCAGAGCACCTCCCAATTTCCTCTTTTGTTTCCTTTCTGCCACTTCTTTCCATTCAACTGACTAAGACCAAGGCTTCTTTGCATCTCAAGTGACTCATCAACTCCCAAAAAACTTGCGCTTTAACTAAGAGGGGGGAGCATGCCTCTGTTGAGCCAACGAACCTCCACCACTAAGAGGGGGAAGCAATTTGCGTCTCCATTGCTTCCACTAAGAGGGGATCCATTGACTGGTCCGCATCTCTGTTGTCTCCACTAAGAGGGGGGGGGGGGATGCGTCTCTGTTGTTTCCATTAGTAGGGGATCCGTCAACCTGTCCGCGTCTCTGTTGCCATCTCTGTTGAGTCAACGCGCCTCCACTAGTAAGAGGGGGGAAGCAACTCATATCTCTGTTGCTTCCACTAATAGGGGATCCATCAACTGGTCTGCATCTCCATTGTCTCCACTAGGAGGCGCGCGGGGGGGGGGAGCGCATCTCCATTGTCTCCACTAAGAGGCAGCAGGGGGGAAGAGGGATCCAATGACTTGCCTCCTCACGTCTCTGCCGTATGCAACAATCAACCAACAGTTGCTTGTTTGCTGATGCTTGTTTTAACTCACTTCTTTCCCTCCCTTTCATTCTCTCTAAAGCAAATCCACTAACAGCAAGATGATAACTAATGCAATTGAGCTCCTTGAAGCTAGTGACACTCCTGCAACAACAACAACAACAACAACAACAACAACAACAACAACAACAACAACAACAACAACAACAACAACAACAACAGGAGCAAGCAATATGGCGAGCAATACTGCGAGTGATGATCCTGCAAGTGAAGCCTCCCCATCTAAAAAGGAGAACTTGACTGGCAACTGAAGACAAGCAATCATTCAGATCCTTTTACAACAATGGAGCACTATTGGAAAGAACCTTCCAAAGGGAGCTTTGAAGGAACCAGTGGCCCTCTTTAACATAACAAGAAAAACTGTTACAATGATTTGGAAGAGGAACACAGAAACATTTGACCCAATCACTTGCCCTGCTGGTGATGTTAGCAAGAGGAAACACATGAGYGGAAGGAAAGCAAGACCACTGTCAGACCTTGATGCAATTAGAGATGTCCCACACAAAGACAGACGAGGTGATCTAAGAACCCTTTCAGCTACAACTGCTAGTATTCCAAGAAGTACTCTGCACAAACTTRTCAAACGTCGCAAAATAAAGAAGCACAATGGAACTACAAAACCTTTGCTAACAGATGCAAACAAGCTCAAACATGTTGAATGGATATTGAAACACATTGATAGCAATGGAAAATTTGACGCCTTTTTCAAGTGGATACASATTGACGAGAAGTGGTTCTACCTGAAATGCACAAAGCAAACTACATATCTGCTCCCAGATGAAGGTGTACCTAAGTTGACCTCCAAGTCCAAGAACCATATGACAAAGGTGATGTTCTTGTGTGTAATGGCT